ACATTGCTTAAATATACTGGAATCAGAGCACAAACAATTGGTCATATGACTGATTGCAGAGAAGGCAACATTTAGATTAATCATACTGACATAGTCTACTTATATAATCTTCAGGCACAGTATGAAAAATGCAAAAACATTTACAAAAAAGAATGACTGACTGTATGTCTTTTATAACCCAGCGTCTCCATCACAGGCCAGCATGTGTCCTCAATGAGTTTAATCTCATCTGAAGCCATATTCTCCTTCCACATGTTGATTTTGGCAGGTGATATATCTCCTTCATATATCAGATTATACAGATTTGTAGATGTGGCAAATGTCAGCTGGTTTAACGCAGCTGGTGCAACTGGTATTCCAAGAAAGTTATGTATCTTTCTCGCTGTCTCTTCAGGAAAATATACAACGTCTTCAAATTTGACTATAAGGTATGTTTGTGGGGGAAGGCTTGTGCTCACCTTGATCCCTGCTGAATTGTGAGCCAGCCATAGCTGAGCTAGTAGCCGTACAGGGTTGGGATCTGGCTGGGAGAGGATCTTCTTTAAAGAAAGGAACTGTGAGTCCACTATAGCACAACCCTGATCCACACCATCAATGTTTTGCTTAAAAATGTTGACAATGTGCCTTTTAATATTCTTACGTAAGTACAGGCTTGGCTTGCTGCTGTAGAGCATTAGATAAATCCATGCACGTGGGTCTCTGACCACATGAACTGAGCGAAGTGAGTGACCTATGACCTCTTGAAGATACGGCAGCTTCAAGAACCAGCCTCCACTGCCCATGTTCAGCACTGGCCGGGCATTTGGGTACTTCACCAGGTGCTGCCTGAGCTCTTGTATGTATGCAATGTCCATATGGGTACCCTTGCCACCCACTGTCCTTGTTTGCTCAGACAGCAGCATCCTTCTCTTTCTTTGTCCTTTTTCTTTGACTTTGTTCTCTGCTTCATCATTGCTCTGGTGCAACTGAATGTTTTGCAGGTGCAGTTTCACATTGTGGACTATGGAATGGAACCATCCCTGAATGACTCGAAATCGTCCATTTTGCGCATCTGCTTTGGACCACACGCAAGCGTCCACCAGAGAGACGAAAGGAGATATGGGGAACCGCAGGTAGGTTGAAGGGATCCGAAGGTATACAAAGTCAGAGCTATTATCGAAAAGGTGCTGAAGGATCTCTGCGCCTGAGCCCGGCATGGATGTAATCGTGATGATGGGGAGGAGGTCATGGACGCTAGAGTCTGTTCCATCATATATGCTGTTGTCTTTTGACTTAACATTGCACAAGAGCTGTTCGCAGCCATAAAAAAGAGACAAAAGTTCAGTCACCCACAAAAACAACACACAGACCAGAGTGCAATGAATTAGCATATTGAACGACACATGAAACTTCCTTTTTTTCATTACGAAAGCTAAAGCAAAACATAAAGTCAACACCGCAGAGATGTTTACAACCAATCCAAAGTCAAACACAAAATCTTTTGTGACTTGACTTGGCAAGGTTTGAATTCCCCGGCCAAACCGAACTATTCTTCTGTTGTCTTCTGTTTTAGCAAAGCCTGCAAAGCCCAAGTAGCCATGTCTGGCCTCAATGTCTTCGTAGTTTGTTACAACTGACACAACAGTCTCTGTGTCATTAAGAGTCACTGATATTTTGACTCCATTTTTACTGTTGTCTATGAATCTACAGTCCAAGACCTTGACGTATGGGCCATGCATCAAATAAGCCACTCTAGTGACAGTGTTCTCCATGGGAAAGGTCACGTTTATGTACTGCGTCCATCTCTTTTTGAATTCAGCAGCCTGTTCTGCCTCTTGTATCCTGGCAACGGGGCTGTATCCTTGAGCGTCCAGCCAAAACATTTTGTAATGTGCATCCCACACATCCATCAGAGCCCCATTGTATTTTCCAAATGATCTGTGAGGAACGTACCTGAAATCATTGTCAAGGTTGTGAAAAAACGCACTGAGAGAACTGAGAGGGGAGAGCTCGTGTTTCTCAATGTGGTCCAGAACCAGCAATGTTTGAGAGTTGAGAAGCACAAGTGCTCGATACACACTCTTTAGCTTCATGGCAGATGAATAGGCCGACACAGACTCTCCACTCACAAACAACATGTCCTGATGTGATGAAGCTGCAATGACCTCCCCAGCAGTATCCCCGACTTCCTTTTCTCCCCATCTTAGCCACTTTGAACATTCCCCCAACTGTCCTTCCCATGGCTGCTTACACTGGCTGGTGGGTGAGGGGGCAAATACCAGCACGTTGTTAAGATAGCTGTATTTAGGACCATACAAGGCCTCAGAAACAAACACCAGTCCATTTGGTGCAAAAGTAAAGGAGTTTTGATCAGGGTGCTCGTGTCCGGGGTTAAAGTTCGTCCAGCCATCTACCCAAGAGTAAGGTTGTGCATGGATAATATCATACACTGCTCGCCCTCCTAATTTTCCAGATTTAAATGACACAAAGGTATTACCTTGAGCTTGAGGTAACCCTGCCCCATACGTCACCACACCCCAGTTGGAGAAAATGTGCATAGTTGCTTTGTTAAAGTCAGGTGGAGGCTGTGGAGTTAAAGCAGAGTCATACCATATGTACTCTGTATGTAAAGTAGCCCAGCGTTGGGCTGCTGATTGCATCATGGGTCCATCTTTAGGACGATACTTCCTAATCTGCTCTGCCAGCCAGTTTCCTGAGCCATTTCGGATCACGTATGCATCCAGAAATACAAGCTGGCTCTCTGGCCCATAGAACCAGTTGTAATTGGAGTCTGCAATGCCAACCGTTCTTTGAAATCCAGGAAGCAGTGTAGCAAAGTAAAACATGAAGTGAGCTCTGAGCCAGTTGTTCTGTGTGTTGTCTATCTGAAAATGACGCAACGCTAGATAAACATATTGAGTAATGGATTTTGCTGTGTAGCTACCATACGCAACACCCTCATCGAGAGAGCCATCAACAATGTGGCTGAGAAGGAACATGGTCTTTTCCATGTAGTTCACTGATATTTGCTTCCATATCATGGTCTCTGGGTCATTATGTTCCCCTGCCACAAGAGCACCAATGAGAATGGCTAGTATATTAGTTGTCTGGTGGTTCTGTAGAAACTGCTTTCCCCATCCTCTGTGCTTGGAAAGCTCGAAAAGCTCCTCAGTAACAGATCGTATTTTCCTGAGATATCGCAATCTTCTGTGGGTGTCAAGAAAGGTGTAAATGAAATCATACGCCGTGGCAAATCCAGTGAGGGAGTGGGCGATGGGAACCTCATCATTTGGTGCACTGGACACCGTCCAATCTGGATACTCCACCATTCGGTCCATGTACTCAATCAAAAATTGAGAGGCAGTAGCATCCTCAGGTTGAAGCAGACAGTATAGTGCAAGAGGGGGCAAATTGTTACCATAAATCTCATTCCATTTCTTGCCGAAATCCTCATGGCTCACCGGAGGCTGGTAAACAGCTGCATTGGATAACATAACCGAAACAGCATTACGAATAACTTTAAATATGTGTCTATGTGTGGTGGTGGCCCTCTGTTTCATCAAACGCAATTCTGTCTGATCAAAGTATAGCTTGGGGTGAAGGTGTGCTGACAAGGTGGTATTGTCTGTTTGGTGTTCATTCAAGGACACATATCTGTCTGAGGCAGACGAAATTCCACAGAAAGCAAGTCCCACAGCCAAGACACAGCGCAGAACCGCAAACCTCTGCATGTTCTCCATGACCATGATCCAAGAAACAGATGTGGTGCTTTTCTCTTCGAAAGCTCCTCCTCCAAAGCGCCCAAAAATTTGTTATTAGTCCAACTTGTACTCACATGCAGAGCTGCAGATATTTTTTTCCTTTCAGGCAAAACCCCAAATGACTATGGCGGTATGTATGTAGACAGTGGGAATCGTTCACATTTCCTTGAAAAAAAAACATGCTTTTAACTCCCATAAATGGTTATCCGGCTAAACTAAAACTTGATAAACCCACGCAAAACAAACTTCTTCCGCATTTATTTGTACGCTGTTGTATTATTTAACCGGATAAAACGTTATTTTCAGTCTCGCTCTTTAAAACGATATCCGCACAAAGTGCTATAACGGAAATATAATAAATGCAGAGATGTGTCAAAGAAACTTCCGTTTTCAGAATCCGTCATTACAAGTTTGATCCTCTGCTTCCCGCGGGTCTTATGGAAGAGTTTCCTGAAAGTTGCAGCGTTCTGCAGTAACTATTCACAGCACCATGTAAAGTCACTCTTAACGCCTTTTTCTCATCTTGTGACACGAAAAGCGAGATAATCCATTAATCCACTTTGAGTTGAAGGAAACGTACCGCCTGCTGTATCGTTTGTCTAAGTGGTGATGTTTTCTAATTTGATCTGAAGCAAAGACTGATATGAAGAATCCACAATGCCATTTAAATGTCACTTTTTAGACTTTAGGGTTATATTTCCTGCATCAAATTCTTCTTCTGTCACAAAACTGTCCCAGTGTTGTAAGTCAAGTCGCTTTTTCCATCTTCCAAGTTTATCTAGTACAACGATCACAGTCGGCATTAGCAATTTTTTATATGGTCGATAGATGGCGTCGTAATATCACATTGAGTGGTTCATTAAACCACATTTCCGGTATTCATGTCGTTTTATTTATAATTAATCGAACGAATTTGCTATTCAGATATAAAGTACAGTTTCATATCAAATATTTAATATAATTTAGCCACAAATCAGAATAGCATATAGTTTCAGCAATTTGACTTTAAGCAGATACAGGTCACACAGTAATGTGTTGAGAAGTGTGTCCTCTTTCATACTTACAAAAAAGAAAAGAAACAATACACGGGGAACTCCAACAAAAAGCCCAATAAAATTGTGAACATAAATATGAACACAATAGGAGTACATCATACATGCAGCTATGGCCATGTTAATTTGATTTACATGATTTAGACTTTCATGTGATGGGAGGCTAAATAAAAGAAATGTGGTTAATTTAAGTTACTTGAACTTTATTTGATAAATAAACCAACCACAATATACTGTACACTGGGAAGATGATTTATAAAAAGGGGAAAAACAGTAATGCATGTGATGACATGGTAAAGATTAACATGATCCTAAATCAACAGTCCATGTTAATCCTCTTTCTTTGCTTCAGAGGTTTTTTCTGTACTGTCAGGCTGCAATTCTATTGCCTTCTTCCCATGTGCATCCAAAACAGGACTTGCTGTAGCTCCTTCCACGGGTTTCTCATCATCCGCTGGTACAGCAGTACATGTAGCCCAGATAACCAACGCAACTATACCCACTGGTAGTCCAAACACAAAACAGGAGAAGAATGGAGCTGCCTGGAACATCGACTGAGATCAGGGAGATTTATATTAGTTACTAGGACAACTGTGACCTAAATATTAGTCTCAAGTAAATATTTGATGAGGATGTGATCAGCCATGTGTTTTGGTTTTGGTGTGTTTAGCTTTTAGTAAATATTTGGGAAAAAATTAAATAAGAGTTAATCTATCCTTTTGCTAAAATAATAAAGAGTGTTAGTCGGTCTTACCACCACAGTAGACTTAGCTTTATAGAGAGATCTCTTAACGTGCTGCAAAAATCCATTTCCCCCTAGTAGCTGATTGGGGTAAAAGGGAATTTTATTAGAAAAGGCACAATGTATTATAGGACAGAAAAGATAGACATGAAATTATCTCCCTTCACATACCTTTGCACTGCCATCTAGAACACTGTTTACGAAGCGAAGTAAATCCTCAATGGTCTCAATCTTACTTTCTGGTAGACAGTATCCATCAATGGTCATATTTAACACAATGATGGAGGGCCTCTCAACTTCGGATCTTGGGAGAAAGTCATCATGCACGTTACAGTATGTTTTATCACCTAGTGGCAGAAATATTGCAATCACAATTTTTTTTTTATAATTAATGATGCAGTTTGTTAACTGTAAAGGGTATAGGAAAATAAGGCAAATAAAAGAAAAAAGTAAAAAATATATAATATTTATGGAGAAAAACAGGCTTACTTAGTTCTCCCATCTGGTACAGACTGAAGCTATCAATTTGGAAGTAAGAGGGAAAACGTTCTCGATTTATCCAGGAAGACAAATCATCATCAAGAAATTCTGTAGGAATGATAAGACAGGTGATATTAAACTTAATAATACTTTATGTACATTTAATGTTTTCATGTATTAAATGTAGCCCTGCACTTGTTAAATGTCACCGTCAAGCCTGTGCAAACAATATGCAAAGTAAAAGTACTCAGAAATGTTTAATCTAAAATATGTAATCATGAGAAACAAATGATCTTTTATTTTATTAACAAAGAGTGTTTCTGTTCACTGACTGTGCATTAAATTATGCAAAATATGTTACTTGCACACAGTCAAGCTGTTGACTTAAAGGGTGTATATTGGATGTTAGCCCAGACGAAATGTTCAGAGTAAGCCACATGACCGAAGAGAGCTGGAACACTTTACTGTCTCTGTATTCTCAACTTTTGGAACAGAATGGTAAGAAAGTAATTACTGTAATTATAATGTGATCTAACAAAAGGTTTTTCTCTTGTACACATACAAGAACCTGTGTATAACCATGGGTAAGTACTTCTAACATACTAGTACTTTTAATGTTAATAAAGTAACTTTACATCCAGTGCCCTAAATGGCCAAATTATGCTGGGAAAATGTACATATATCAAATATATTGGTGTGCTGTGACCTGCAATCTTTTTAAGATTTTTGTTACAACTTTTTTGTGCCTTTGCTTTTTTATGCCTCTGTTTTTAGGAGGATTACCATGTGATTTCTGTTACAAAAAGTGATAATAAAGTAAATATTGTCAGGTAAGTGATTCATAAACTTATTTGCAAAAGGTCTATGTATCACATACACTTGCTGAAAAGAGAGAATGATTTGTAGAGTGTGCTCACATCACAATGTCTTTGTGTTTTTCAAATTAATTATTTCTAATATTTTAATGTGCAAACTGTATTTTTTATTTTATTTTTTACTTTAAGTTAAGTTGACAATTGAGCTGGCCTTAATATGGCACTATATAATGGGACAAAAAAACCTTAACATTTATAAATTACAATAAAACCCGTATTTCTTTTTAGGTAATCTGGAAGATGTTAATGCATAATATATCTCCTGCAGATGCCACATTCTACACCTTGTGTTTTAACCTTGTTCCATGGATGTGCTAACTATTCATATCATGGAGGACTCGTCTGACAGTGCAGTGTTTCGGGTCCAGGTTCAGTGTGCTGATCCTTTCCTGCTAAACTACTGGCTCCAGAAGACCTTCTTCAACAATGGGGAAGTCCAACAGATCAACACCCTGAGAATAAACGGCTGTCGTGGGCTAGTGTTTGTTTTGAGGGTGCTGCATCGTTCTTCACGCCTCCCTAATTCCCATTATTGGTGCCCTTTCCTAGTGACACTCTGCCTCGATGCCCTGGCATTTCACTACCACCTCCCCTCTGTGCCCCAGTGGAACGGCACCCTTCGAGAGGCGATGAGAGGAAACAGCCTGGAGCTCAGACGCTGAGATTTTGCTGCTTACAGATCCTATTAGTTTCAGATGTTCGCTTACTAAAGTGATGCACTGCAAGTAGTACATCTTACCATTGTAAAGGTAGTACGTCCTGTCTTTGAACACAGCAACGGCGGGAACATCCTGCAGAGTGACTGCCTTTGGAGACAATCAATAATGAATTGAAACGATTTGTTTTCAAAGAAGCTGATTATTTTACAGAGGTATTTTAAGTGAAAGTCTTACCTTTGGAAGGACTTCCTCAGATGCAGTGAAAAAATATGTGTGGACAATATACTCAGTAGCAGCTTTGTAGTATTCCTTCTGTTTAAAAAAGAAAAAAACTGTACATTACATTTCAATAGTAGTATATTATATTAACCACTTCTATATAACTATGCATGACCTAGCAGAAAATCTATTCACATAGTTTATTTATAAAACAATAAAACTTTCAAATAAAGTGCTATCCAGAAGCAGTGGTAGTTGTGAACTCATGCTCCAGCATTTCATTCCTATTCCATCATAATTCATTCATTGTCCGTAAATATGACCGTTATTAATTTTACATAATGTTTACCTTAAGGAGCGACTCCCTTCCAATGTAAACGAAGATAAGATCGTGACGACTCATAACATGCTGGAACAACTGAACGCTAGAGAGTGGTCTTACCACAGGTCTAGGTTAAAGAAAAAAGGACAAGGGGATAGCATGAGGAGAATTATAACTAGCATTGACATGAGACTAAAATCTATGCAGAACACGAAAGACACATCATTTCATTATAGTGAAATTTACTCCACAATTACCCAGAAACTCTGTTGGTGAATTCAATAATAGCATCCTTTGTTCTAGGCCCTTTGTAGTCAAAGGACAGCTCTCCTTTAAACCTTATTAAAAAAACAAAAACAAAAAAAACAGAACAGTGTCAAATACATCATACAGCATGAACAATTCTTGGTTATTAATTTAGAGATTATAATTAGGTATTAACTCACAGTTTTATGGTTGGATATCCACGAATATTAAACTCTGAAGCAATACCTATGGACAGAGAAATTAAGCGCTCTAGTTTGTAGTCTAGACTTGTAAGAGTGTACTCATGGTGGGGGGTAAAACAAAAGACATGGGCTACATTTCATTCACCCAGAAAGCTTGTGCAAATTTAATAAGAAGAAGATTATGAAGACAATGGCAGCAACCTAATTCCAAGAAACTAAAGGGATTTCTAATTGCTGAAATGCAACTTATGCCACATGGCCATCTGGTTAACAAGATACAGACTCAACACAAACTTCGTATACAGTTCAACGAACTGAGTCTCATGAATGCATGAGGCCTGCTTAACTAATCCCATTAAACAGCAGGTAAGCCTATCCTGCCATTTAAGTAGCATACTAATTGGTTGCTAATCAGTAGCCCGGTGTGGCATTACCATTACTGTCATCTCAAACCAAGCTACAGCAGGAGATATTACTTTCATCTACTGTAAGTATCCTAGAGGGGGATGTGGCACAAATGCAGTTCTTACTAATCTTAAATATAATTTTAGATGCACAATCAATGTAATTAAAACTTTCCAACATACACACTTTAATGTGAACATGTGAACTGAACCCACTTGTGTGCACTGTGGTATCAATCTTGCCAACATTAACAGGGGAGCCCATACTCTTCAGTTCTGCACCGACTTCATGCCATATTGGCTCAAATGTGTGACAGTATGCACACCATGGTGCATAAAACTGCAATATAAAAAAATGACATGACAAAAAAATACAAAGCAAACACATCACACGACATAAAACTGCATAAATTGTACTGCATACACTCTCACCTCCACCAGCCAGAGTTCATGCTTTAGGTAGTCCTTAAACCTGTAAAAGGTAACTGATTAATGCAATTTCACATTGATTTCTGTCTATCTATCTATCTATCTATGCAATAAGTAATACAACAAACCACAGGCCTTGACAAATTACAGTTGCCTGCAGGCAACCCTTTTAGCTGTGACTATTTACAACGCAGCAAGTGCTAGAGTGCCTTGTTACTTTTATAAAATGGTTCCCTCATAATAAAATATAGTGTGATAAAGGATATTAAAAACACAAATTTCCATCTAACCCCCCTTTTATTAAGCAGACTCATAAAGTGCTATTTCTTCCAGTAGATCTCCGTACGTTGCTATGCAACAAAAATAACGACGCTGCACTGACAACACCTTCACTACTAAAGCACAAGTTAGTACCTTTACAATGTAAAACACTTACTTGTCATCGAGTTCCTCCACGTTTCCTGACACCACAGCAATGACCGACAGAAGCGCTATTAATGAAAAAGAAACGCAGTGACATACAGATTACGTGTCAGTCGATCGTGTTAAAGAGATTTGTATTTTGCAGTTTATGTTGGCGAATATGGTGTCCATACAATTAATAGGCGTTCATACCTGTAAGTATTACGTTTCTCATTCTTGCTATCCTTTTATCTTGTCATTAACCGTGCAATAGCCTTGAAATGTTACAGGTAGCAGAGTCAGTGTTAGGTTAGTGACATAATCATCGGACTGGTAGTAAACTCTTGGTCGACTGACTAGATTAACCCCCTTTGCCCCGACGGGTAGGAACGGACAGAATTGGGGCACAAATTGATTCTGGGCAAGCGGTGAACGTTTCATTGCGCCACTTTAATTAGTTTAAATTAGATTTTAGTCTTGTATGTTCTAGCGTACAGCAAACAAGCAAACACTGTTTCAAACTATTAACATGTTCTGTGGTGAGTCTACTGTTAAACCCCCCCCCCCCCAACCTACCCCGCCCCCCCAAAGCCATAAACCTAGGGGAAACACTGGTGTTGCAAAACACTTTTGCTGCTATTGAGGTGAAATACGGGTAAGGTTTGAGACAGGTATTCGTGATATGGTTAGGTTTAATGGTAAATTACAACAGTGTACTTGTGAGAAACTAATTACAGATGTAATTGCATGTAGATAAGCTATTTTTAAAGAGATGTACACAATAGTGCAATGCAATGTGTATTGAATCAAATGATTCATTTACATTTTGAACACTTATTATTATTGTTGTTGTTGTTGTTATTATTATTATTATTGTTGTCATTTTGTCTGTTACATAGGCCTATTGTTTTAGTATCTGCTGAAGTTTACTCTTGAAAAATGTTGCTTTCTTTCCCGAAAGATGGCGCCATAATATTCCATTTGGAATACAGCTGCTTCTTGTTTTATTAGAATGCACAGCTGTGCTAAAATAAGTGGGCATCATTACATTAATCCTATGTTCATAACATTTTACGCACTGTGGTCTTACGTTTTGCTTAGCCAATTTCTAACTAAATAAATTATGTAAATGTTGCCAGTGCATTTTCCTCAACTGTTTACTGTTCTTACAATTGTTTTTGATCCCATAATAGCAAGTAATGCATTTTAAAACCTTCAGATATGTTTAGAAGACGACCTAATAACCATTTATTATTGCGAATCTAGTTTTGTTTATGTATTCTAGTATGCCATACAAGCAAGCCTATCATTAGACAGCTGCACCTTGAGAGAACATTTTGATTCGCTCAAGGACAAGTCAATCAATCAAATACCCGCCCACAGTGTGTTCAGCCTCACCGGTGATTGGTTCAAAACAATACAGTTTAAGAGGTCTTTTGTATCTCTATGGCCGACGTTGACGTCTGTCTCCATCAAATAGAAACGTAAGTTTGGTCCGTGGGGAGAGGCAACTGTTATGGAAGTGGTTGCCTCTTGAATTTACTTCACTGTATTTTCACTCATCCTAAATGGAATAACATCTTTGGGGATTCACTGCTTGTTAAATTAGTTAGGGGTATAGAAACTGAGCGAAAAGCATGGCATGATAGAGAAAGGACTCTGGAAAGAGCTCGCGCGTTATTTATTTTCTTCTGACCGCTTCATGTTTGTGGACAGCGCGACAAAACATACGCAGTTGTCTAACTTGTGCACGTTAAAACTGAGTTTCTAACATAACGTTTGTGATAGTCGCGGTAAATTAAGTTTCAACAGGCTCACACGGTGCTTGTGTTGTTGAATTCGTCTTGGAGTTCAAACATAGCCTAGCCGACGCTCGGTCAAAACAAGCAGTTATATCTGCATGTAAATATATGGATTGTAGTATATGGCCCTAGTCTGCTGTTGCAAAATGCAATGGGACTAACTGAGGCCTTTGGACCGCCAGAATATCTTTGCTTCACTTTCAAGCCTGATGACCAGGTAAGACACTGAACTTTGTGTAATATCAGTGGGGTGTTTTCTTTTTGGTTTTAAAGTGCGTTAAACTTGAGAAGCATGCGCGTGTGTCAGTAAACAATTAAAATGCGCTTTGGTCTCCACCTATGAGTAACAGTTTAATGACAGCATGCAGTTCGTTACAAGTTGCACCTGATCACTATTCTCAGCGGTATTCTGGCGCTTATTGTTTTGCAGCAACCGTGTTCACTTTCGGTCAGCATCATTTATGCGATCTCGGATTGCAACACTTGCACTTCCGAGTTGTTTTTCGCGTCCGCTTTGAGTTGGCTTAACCTAGTAACTACGCAAGCCGTGTAAAAACATTAGCACTACTGGTTTATCCTATACTCACAATTAGTGTGCAAAGCAGTTTGCAAATTCACCCGGATCTCCATAGTTTCCTTAACGTAGTTGCTCTTCGTTAAAATCGTTATTGTAGTTTTATATACTAACCCTGTGAAGTGTATTATGCGTTTAACCTTGTAAAGTGTGGTCATTAATAGGCCTATTTGAGTCTAAGTACTTCTTAGCAACTTACTGAGCAGATTTTGAAGTGTTAAGCAGATTCATGAAAAACGCAGCCTTACTGTACAGTATGTTAAATGCATGCAAAAAAAAAAAAGTGATATGAGCTGAAAAATCTGTACACGATGGCCAAGTCCTTCTCATTTTTATTATTTCTAATCTTTGGAATGTCAGACATGCTGCTGTTCACATCATCAGCGTAGCTAAATGGTGTTATATTGTCTAATCACGTGATTTAAAATACCTGTGAATGACCTGTAGAATGTTAAGGCATTACAACCTCTTTTGGAATTTCTGTCTTTTTGGCTTTTAGAGGTCATGAGATATCAGTTAATCAAATATTAGAGTAACTTTAGATCAAAATAAGGTCTTATTGTGTAATGTTTACAGTCAGCTTACTGTCATAGCTGTTGTTTTGGTGAAACCCCTTTGTAGTAACCCAGTGCATTATTTTGACCCTGCATGACATGCTTATTTCCAGGCTGAGAGTGTTATTTTGGGAAAATAACGATTGGTATATGGGTCAAATCATGCAGTAAGCTGAGCATTGAATGTTGGCTGGCCTTAAGGCTGTCCCAACTGAAGGTCAAGTTTGAAATGAGCTCTGTGGGACGTTGCCACTGGAGTCATGGCCAAAACAGATGTTTTAGGGCTTGTCTTTAGTAGTCCTGCCTTTCTTACACACTCCAACCCTGAGCGTGCAACAGTTTTGGTAGCTTTCTACTGTAAATCGCATAATTTAGTTGTGAATGTTTATGGAAACAAAAACAGAGGGACAGCCCACCTTAATTGTTCTTGAAGATTAGCCATATGATTGGCCATATGATTACAACTTTGAAAATCACAGGGGGGATCTATAGAAAAGGACTGAGTTGATTTATCACACTGTAGTGAGAAGAGCCAGCTGTTGAGCAGCCTAAGGCCTGCGTGACTGTTTGGTTCGTTTAAAGTGGCTTTTACTGGGGTGTGGCACTCGAATGTAAGAGTGGGAAGGCAGTGTTTAGATCCTGGCAGAGTTTTGTGTTATTTATTTATTTCTCTATTTCGTTCCCAAGCTTACATCTGAAATGTTGCAGGGACAGTTTATCCCGTATCCGTCCTGTGTTTTTTGTGATGAATGAAGGGAAATTAGTGTGAATGGCTTGATTCTGTGTTCATTTACAGAAAATTTAGTCGAGGTGATTCATTTTCATGCCACTGGCTATTGTTTGTTTGGACAGTGAAAGGAATTTAAAATTAGGCTAAATCTGCTTGCACTTGGCAGGTGTGTTTACTGCCCCTAACCCTATTTCCATGTGTTTGCCTTAATTTTGTCTTAAATAATTGTGCAAAAAGTGATTAGTATAGCTGATAACTGTTAGTACATCAAAGAGCGGTTTTCAGGGTTTCTTTCAAGGATTGAAAAGATATTAAAGAAATTGACCATATGTAAACAGTGTTTATTTCTTTAGTCAGCACAAAATGAAAATCCATTTCAAAGTCAGCACAGAATGAATCTTTTTTTTATTTTTCTAAATGCTTGTTATTGATCTTATTGGGAAATAATTTTATGCATGTTTTTTTTTACCACGATCCTGCTTTTAAACATCAGACTGCATACTCACATTCAGATCTGTCTACATCTAATCAACAACTTATCCAATAAAACAGGTTTCCGCCCTGCTTTTTTTTTTTTCTTTCTTTTTCGTTGATCTGTTTTATTTCAATGTACATCACAATACAGAATAACAAAACTGTTGCTACTTCTGTTCAGCATTTTTGGGAATAGGAGTTTTTTTTTTGTCAGATCAAGCATTTTCGTAATCAACTTTTCAGTGTACTGTTTATTTTTGGCTTTCCGTCACTATACAGTATATTGTTCACTCAAATAGAAGCAATACTACAAGTAGTCCAATATACAGTTATTGTAAAAATGGGTATTATAATGAGGCATACTATTATTAACAATGTTTTACTTATCTATTTATCTGTTTATTTCTTTGTAGGTCTGGCAAGGACATTCAAAAATGTGAACCGGTGATTGATACTCTACCAGATTAGTTGTGCACCAGTAGCAATGGAGCGGAGCAAACGCAACTCCATTGCTGGGTTCCCCATGCGGCCAGATCGGCTGGAGGACCCAGATTGTGGAGGAGGAGGAGCAGAAACCAGTCTGGCACCGCTGGACAGGGTGTGTCCCTCGTCTTACCGGGCCCTCATCAGTGCCTTTTCTTGCCTGACCCGACTTGATGACTTCATCTGCGAGCGGATTGGCTCTGGGTTTTTTTCAGAGGTCTACAAGGTAAGATGGTTGTGATGACGACAATAAGTCATTTCGATTTCAGTTATTAGTCACTTGGCCTTACCAAACCACCTGCAGAGTTGAGTTCTGACATTATTCATTATAGTTGTAAGTGAACATGAAAACTATGATTATCTGATTCAACGGTTTGATAACGGTTTTTCACACCAGGAGGTGAGAGTTGTGTAGCCTTTTTTCAAAGATAGATGGAGATTTAGTTGAAAAGGTCCTAAGGGAAGAAAAGAAAGTTAATCTTGTGATTCAGTTAATTGAGTTGTCATCTAGGTTGCAATGTCAGATAGGTGTGCATATTTTGGCATGTAAATTAATTGCTGTTGGCTTAGCGGTAATGATAGATTACTTGGTATTGGACTGCAATATGAAGTTAACTTGTGCAAGTAAGAAGAGAGTAGGCCCTAAATTTGTTAAAGGAAGTGTATGACTTAGTATGATATAATATCAAAGTTTGAAGTTAATGAAGATGAAACATTGTGGTTAA